ATGGATACTACTATTGTTATTATCATCAACATCATCAAAATTATCATAATTATCCTCATTGTCATGACAATTATCCTTTTTAGCATCATTATCCTCATTATTATCATTATTGTTATTATTTTTGCAGTTATAATGTAATTTTCATTATCATCGGTAATAACACGTAATAATTATAATAATGATGATAATAACAGCAATAATGCTAATAATAAAGATATTGATATTATTAATATTGTTGTTATTATTATCACTGTTACTAATATCACTATTATCATTGTTATTAATATCATTATTATCCTTGTTATTAATATAATTATCATTATTATTACAATGGTAATTATTAGAATACTGGTTATTACTGCTGTTACTCCACACTTATCAAAATTATTATCATTATCATTATAATCATTATTATTATCATCATTATTGTTATTAATAATCAAATTATCATCACTATTGTCATTATCAACACGATTATTGGCAAAATCATCATTATTGTCCTTTTGTCTCCTTTTCATTAAAAATTAATGATATTTTTGTTATTGATATCACAATTACCATCATTCTCCTCTTAATTATCATCATTATCTCCTTTACTATCATTATTGTTATTATCATTATAATCATGATTGTAGTAATTATTACCGTAATTTTCAGTTATCTCCATTATCATCATTATTGTTATTATCATTATAATCATGATTGTAGTAATTATTACCGTAATTTTCAGTTATCTCCATTATCATCATATTGTTATTATAAATAAAATTATTATCATTATCATTATTATTATTATCATTATCATTATTATTATTATCATTATCATTATTATTATTATCATTATCATTATTATTATTATCATTATCATTATTATTATTATCATTATCATTATTATTATTATCATTATCATTATTATTATTATCATTATCATTATTATTATTATCATTATCATTATTTATTATCATCATCATCGTCATCATTGTTATAATTATCTTTATTATTATTATTATCATTATCATTATTATTATTATCATTATCATTATTATTATTATCATTATCATTATTATTATTATCATTATCATTATTATTATTATCATTATCATTATTATATCT